CGGAAAAAAATAAAGCGGTTCAGTCTGAACCAAACCAATCAAGCCAAAGTGTAAACAAATTGTTGATCGAGAAATACCTATTGATCTCGGCACTAGTAATCGCCGGATTTTGAAAGTACCAAAAGCGCCCTTCGACGCATAAGCAGTGAATGTACGAAGCCCATTGAAAACTCCATATAGCACTGTAATCAGGGCCCACACGCGCGCGCGTCGAGGTTTGGGTGGTGCTCCGCCCAAGGAGCCGCGCACCCGCAAGAGCCAACATCTCAGCAGGGGCGAAAGACGCCGAGCAGAGCGGCGGTGCCCTTCCGCCAAACGTGCCCACTCACCTTGCCAATTTTTAAAAGCTCGAAGGAGTTGACAATGTGTGGATGCCTTTGAATCTCCTCGTCTCGTGCCGATGTCAGCAATTATTCTGCATTCGTGATGACTAATGATAGGAAGAAAACTGCCGGATGAAGGCGCAAAATTGATATTAGCCAAGCGCGTGCGGACGTGCGCGCGTATCTTTGCTTGTGAATAGGTCAATCAAAAATTGTGACGACGAATTGACCGCTGTCTTTGCGCCCATAGGAGCATGAAACATTCTTACAAAAAAGGCATCACGTCAAAGCCCAGTTTGGTCACTTTCAGTGCCTCAAAACTATCACATGTAAGCAGAAGAACCACTTGCGTATAGATCAAAAACGAGAAAATGCAGTTGCCGGAAATGCGTACATGCCGCGCGCGGTCGCATTATCGTCAGGATTTTCCAAATGCCCCTGCTTCTCGTATGCTCTGCGGCTAACAAAACGCCGCAACCCCAAATTTTACGCCTCCGTCTGTTGTAGCCTTTGTAATGAGCATAATAGAGAATGCAGTGCAATCAACACTTGTAAGTTTGTGTGGGCTTTTTTGCAAATCTGTAAGGAGAAGAGCTTATTTCTCAATATTTGGCCTTGCTGACACTTTGCATTTGATACATTCTCCAGCAGTACTTCCACAATCAGGAATAAACGAGACGAGATCTTTACACAATATGTTCACATTTTGACCGACACCCACTGTTCAAAGAACGTCCAGCCAACTCTGCATTCCCAAGCTTCGTTATACATGGGTATCGATTGAGAGGCTTTGGATAGGCCACGGTTCAAAAACCACCTTAAATTTCTGGTACACCACCAAGAAATTTCACTCTAAAATTTATCTTAGACCGTAAACTTGGCGAGCCAATCAGCGTCTGCGATTACGGTAGAAAGTATCGGTCTGAACTGTTTCGTGTTGATGACTGATGATGACTGATGACTGTTGATGCTCTCGGCTCAGCCAGCCAAATGCTTAGCTGAGTCCCATACTTTTCATGCGTACGAAACTTAGGTTCGAACACTGCCAATGTTGTATCTGTCTAGTACTTCGCTAGATTGCAGTCAGAGATTTATTCGTAGAATGATAAAGCGTTTATGCAACCAATCAGTGTTGATCAATCCGAAGTATAGTTTCCACCGCTTGAAGCACTGCATACATTCACAACGACGGCGTTTTTTGAACACCCTGCAGTATCCCCAAAGGCACTTCTAAATTAAGCCATTCATTATGCCTGCCACAAAATGGACCAAACCTACCCTGTTTTGGCAAGCACTACATACTGCACTGTATTCTAGCAACCTAGCTTTCCTTGAACATTTTTGCACATAGCTTTTCGCTTTTTCTTAGTGCATCCACTATCAATTCCACAACGAGTAGCAACAGCAGCAACACAACAAAATGAGCATTTTCTTTTCAAGTATGGTTAAAATGTCCGAAGCACGCTTTTTAAATCAACGATGCAAACCGGAATAAAACCAGTTAGTGAGGGCTTGGTATGATTGACCCTGAGAAAGCTGCAGGGTGTTGCTGTCGAAGAAATCAAAGTGTTAGTCTAGAAAGGATAGTTTTTTTCGGTATAAACTGTACGTATTTATGAGCCACCCAATTTTTACACTGATTTGCGCAAGCTTGGAATATGCGAAGGACAATACCCTTATTATTCGCGGAAACTAACCGTAAATAACTTCGCCAGGTTCAAGAAAGTTTTAACACAAGCTGTTGAAGCTGCTTGACACCAATAAAGCTATCTATCTTATGACATGTAGAAGCGCTGCCTGGGTACGGTAATTTTACGGTACTGTAAGAGTTTCCATTTTTGTACTTCATCAAAGTGTCCAAAGAAGAAGACTGATCAAGATTTGTATTTTTGAATGAATCGCAAACAGCTAGAGGGGAAAGCAAAAAATGTTGCATGCAGACAGTCCTTAGCAGCTTTATGCAGGCCCTAAGCACTTGTAAACACCATAAAAACTTTGTCACTACTCTTTTTGAAGGATTATAAGTTATTTATGCATGGCTAGAAGATCTCCATCTTTCTCAAGTTGTCAGTGCAAAAGGGGCAAAATCAGAGTGCTAAAGCCCAACGAGGAAAGGTTACACTGTGGCAAATACTTTACGGAGCAGAGTTATAACTCGAAAACGTCACTTATCAAATCGAGAATCTCTCTCAAAACTATTGTTCCTACAATGTTTAAATTTGAAGACTATCGAAGCCATTTCCTACCACCTTTTCATCAACATATGTGATGTCAAGCGCTGAAATTATGGATAATTCACTATGATATTAAATGATGTCAGATGCTTGTAGCTGATGTGCTTGAAATAATGCAAATTGCTTCATCATTTTGCCTGATTCATGACCAAAAAGGCAACTTTACAAGAAGTGCCTTCCTCTGCATTTGTTTTGACTCTTTAAACTTAAAAATCCAGTTCCATTCTCTTTGCAGCATTCTCGGCTATTTATGCAAATGACAAATATACGAAGTGATAGTACAGTACAGAGACAAAGTCAGACTAAAGTTTGCAATATATTGCATTACTAAAGGTACCTTGTAAATTTAGTTTGAGCGCCCGCGAAAAGTTACGCGAAGCATCCCGCACGTAGCGTATACGTGCATTGGCTGCCCTAAGGCAATCCAGAAAAAAAGAAAAACTGTTTTGTTTGCGATCGTTCCGATATACAGGCATTTTCACTGCGCCAAGCTTCTCATGTTGAATTTTAACGTTTTCAATAATTTGGTCAAGGGTATTTGATACTCATGCTCACGCAACCTTTAAGAGGGCAAAACTGCGATTGCTGGGAAATGAAAATTCTGAAAGATTTAAAGCAGCACAGAACCAAACACTTCTCCAGATTTCCTACAGAAAATTTACAGCAGAGAGCTGAATCTCTGCGGCAAGCATGCAAATGGTGCGATTGGTTAGACTACTAGTAACCATTTTCGAAATAGATTTTTTTTGCCTTGGGTAAATCTAAGCTGCAGATCAAGCAGCGTTCTGACTGGCCCACAACCGACGCAATCCCATGTGCCTGATTTACCTGCAAACTGCCTTCCAGCAAATTTTTTATGATGTATCAAAACAATCCTTCTACAGCTATGTGCAGATAAAGTAGCCTTTGGTTACTATTTGTCATCTAATCCAATGTCTGGTTACTGTTTTCAGTCTGATCTCCGACAAGTTTCAGTCATTCTTTAGAACTCTACTGGACAATAGTCGAAAAGTGTTATCATTGATTCTTTGATTGCATGTACTGCTCAAACGCTGTGGACTACGCGCGGCGCCGCTAAAATGTTGCGAGAGCACAATATGTAAAGGATACTGCACGACGAAGGTGAACAGGCAGTATTAGTCGCGCGGGTGCGAACGCGGAGCGCGCGTATCGTCACCGTTGCAAATCCTGCGCCTGATGCGCTCTGCGGCTAATAAAGCCGCGTTCGCGCCTAATGATATATCGCCTTCGTTGAGCAGCAGCCTATACAATGGCGAATTTGTACTACAGCAAGTTTTACGTCTTCGTGGTGATGTCCTAGCCGTGCGGTACGAATGATCCATACCTATTGAGAAGTGAAAAACAATTGTGCTATTCTACTGGTTAACAATAATTTTTGTTTCATTTTTTATTTTAATTCTTGAAAATCTCTCCTCGAAAGACCTCACGTTTACGGCATGTTGACGAGGTGCAAAGTTCTGCCCACTCATTCCCGATACATTCACATCCGCAGTCCATTCACTCTGTATGGGTGGGTATACGTTTCATGACCATTTTCATCAACCAACTGGCATTTTTATCAGTTAAACATTTACCCGAACAGTGATAATCGAAAAAAAAGCATCTATAGTGTTGATAAATATAAAGACGCACAGATTTACAGACGTTTATCTCAGCCGTTAAAACATCAGTGTGCGCCACCTTTGCAATTATCGACATTTTGACAAAGAAACGTCTGCAAAAAATTCGAAAAATCATTTGTAAGCATGTTCCTTGCTCTCTCTTCTTTGAACCCGGACATTTGAGAATATGAGTGAAATTGTTAGATGATATTGCGCCAGTGCCAGGTGAGTGCAGTGTAGTTCAAGCGACAGCGCTAATGCTGTTCCAGATAAATCATATATTGGACTATTATACTATGCAAACTCATTGGAAGAGCTCAGGTTAGATGCTGCAAAAAAAGGCAGGAGGATAAAAGGATAAACATACACAATTCCAGTCATCTACAGTCATCTATAGTCTCCGTATTCAATCCTTAATAAGAGCTCGCAACGTTTACGAGCGGAATACAGGATAGAGGACGTTAGGTCGCCGAAAGAGGAGGTCCCGCGCGGACATCTGCAACAATTGCGCACTTCTGTCCACTCAGCTCATAGTAATAGTCGGGGTGCAGCCTAATAGCGACTTCTTGTCCTCTACCCGAAATACATGACCAGCTTCCTCATGTAAGACAATGAGCCGCGGCTGTGTTTCAACCAAAGCTTTCAATGGTTTCCACTTAAGATCTTGGGAACCTAGACTTGATCTTGAAGATTCTTACAAAGCTCTAGTAGAGCAGAACTATCTTTCAAAATGAGTTACGTTGTTCAGTAAGCTCATATGTAAATGCTGAAGTGTTTATGTAGACGTTTCAACAGGAAATGGCTGTTTCAAAACTCGTCCTGGTTTGTTCTTTGATCATGGACAGGATAAACATACACAATTCCAGTCATCTATTCTGCAGTAGCCTCCTCCCGAGCACCTCTGAAGCAAACCGATCTATTGCGATAGAATACAGGACCAAGACTTACCATTTTTTTGCAAAGCGCATTGCAGATAAGGTTAGCAGTTCTAGGATCTGTGTTGCCGCATTTCCCGTTTGTAGTTTTTACTTCCTCCACCGTAACTTGCAATAGGAGCATCAGCATCAACAATTTGACTAACGGAAACATGATTTTTTTTCTGGAATGAGATCAGATGTTCTACAGCTCTGATTTACGATGCTAAGCAGATAAAAGCTTTATGCAGGTGTTTGAGCTACTAAGAATAAACTGAGGGAAGCAAAAGATATAGCCTAAGATCTGCATAAAATCTCCCAAAAACTCAGATTTATAAAAGCGTCTTAAAATAGTATACTGAATATACAGAATACATGGTTTTTTGTATAAGCGACATAATTACTATTTATTTTTTCGAAATTTTGAAACCTTGGACAGATTGCTGCTAATTATGGGTGTATAGGGCGGTCACTACTGAGCTTTTTTCAGTATGATGAACTACCCGCAAAAATGACAAATAAATATTCGTGAGACCTGGGAGAGTGAGCTATATCAAATAGTGCATACGTATTTCCAGTACCCATCTACATATGCCGCGCAAATTCGTAGAATTGTAGAACCCATTTTAATAAGAGGCTTCCGCCAATCTCAATGAATTGCTTGGCATTGAGCTGATAAAGAATAAAGTTTTTGCTTTGTAAAAAGGAGCACCTTAGCAGTTGTCTGTAAAAAGTATTATTATGCTGAAACGAAGAAGAAAATCACTTTATTCGATTATATCGAAAGTTTGCCATAAGATAATTATACTTTTTCTCCGACTACCTCTTTTCACTGTGTCAAGTTTGTATTGAATCAAGTGTCTCTGTATGTTGATGTCTCTATGTGTTTGATTACAATAGAAAACAGCAGACTCAAAGAAGAAGACAAGAGAAGCAGATTTACTGCTTTCTATTGCTTCATCATTTAGTTCAAATTTTTCAAACCAGTGGCCGTATTCATCAAAACCCCGAGGGTTAAACTAACCCTGGAGGATTAGTTTAACCCTGGAAAGCGTTTAACCCGTATTCATGAAACACAGGGTAGGCACCCTGAGGGTTAAATCTAACCTTGAGGGTAATTTTACCCCGAAAGCGACTAACCCGTATTCATCAACGAACCGTGAGGGTTAAACTAACCCTGGAGGGTTAAACTTACGTGAGTCATCAGGGTTAATCTAACCCTAGCTCAAAGCAAGGTTAACTCTACCCTAACACTTCATACAAACATTTACTCGCATCTAATAGTTTATGGAAAACGATCGACGAGTATTGTAGTATTTAGTATTGATTGTTGTTATAGTATTTAGTTTCGACTTCGTTTTATGTTCATATTCGAAACACATACATACACATACATGAAACACTGACTTCGCGAGAAAAAGAATTCTAGCTTTGGTGACAAATGAATGCGGCGAGGAAAAATGGCATTTCACTCCGACAAGTGCCAAAACAGAAGAACCCCTTTATAATAACACGCATTCACCCCTAAAAGAGTAGCACAAGCTCGGTATAAAACGAACTGCGCAAAAGTAGAACTTACACTGCACAATTGCACACATGAAAATAAACTCACGCTGTAAGACGAGCTGCACAAATATGCTAGAGTTGTATTATAAAAACTAGTGTTAGAAGCTTATTCGTTGATTATACTACTATAACAGTGAAAAGAATAGAAGTATGAAGGGTTAGCACGTACTTAGACATTCTGTGATGTGAGTTTGCACAGCGCACGCGTAACTGACGCCTTAACCCTCCAGGGTTAGTTTAACCCTCAGGGTTGATGAATACGGCCACAGGTTCGTTGATCGATACGGGTAGATTGCGTTCCGTGGTAAACCCTACCCTATGGTTGATGAATACGGCTAATGAACCCTGAGGGTTAAACTAACCCTGGAGGGTAAGCTTAACCCTCAGGGTTCGTTGATGAATAGGCCACAGTGGCGTAAAATAAGCGTGTACAAAAACATTCTATGTGGATTTTTTCCCACTATGATCCTTCCTTGTAGTCAAAATAAGTGATACAAAATTGATTACCCACTTGCAGGCGTTTTTGGACAGGTTTTAACCTTTTTGCCACTCAAGATTTGACAATTTCGGACTTCCGAAAGCTTATGACTTCTTCCGGAAAGTTGTTTCGTAGGAAAGAAAAGCAGATTTGAAATCAGCTTTGAAGGCGCGTCTGGTGACATGCATCTCCCTTCTGGCGAGATCAGTTGTCATTTCGCAACTAAAGTGCATTTAGAGGGTGTTTAGCCTTGGAATTTCAATTTTCGAGTTTTGATACTTCTTTTCAGACGAATGCCTCCTTGCTAAGGATTCAAAAACACAGTCTTAAAGCCAGTGTCCTGGCAGATTTGCTCCCTGGGGATATATTAGGTTGTCTCATAATTTTTTACCGTTTTTACCTTAAACATCAGCATTTCTCGGCAACTAAGGCACCTACAAAGAATCCAAATGCATGATCGTACTTCTGTATGCATGAGCTATATGATCACATGCATGGGAGAAGCTCAGGACATCTAGGGGCGGAGTTTGCCATTTTGACCCATTCATTTTTTCTTTATTTCTAGCCATGGAAAGAATTCGGAAAGTGTATAGTCGAATGTGCGATGTGTAAAGCGTATGCTAGAATAAATCGAGAATTTTTTTGGATATTTTGAGTCGGAGATACGATTTTTAAAGAAAAGTTCGTTTTTGACTACTATCAGATTTCGGCTCAAAACGTCACGTGGGATACGATTTGGACAGACTTCTGACAACCATCTTGTAGAGCATGCTTCGCCCTATCGAATGGTTACTCAAATCACATCAGATGAAGAAAAGACACAGAAAAACGGCGGTTGCAGTAAAAACGGTAAAAAATTATGAGACAACCTAATAGCTGTAGTGGGGTTCTTGGTCACCCCACCTACCTATTTCTAAACCCCGCTGATTGATGTTCATCTTGTGTCCAGAAAATAGCTTTGATACCGACGCGCGCAACCCAGTCGGCGCGTGCGACAAAAAAAATTAAGACACCCGAGTAACATTTGAGCGCTTGGGTGCGGGCAATGATAGCCACAAGAAGAACAACGGTACACAGACGAAAACATCTGATGGATATAGTGCTAGAGTCCTGGATTGAGGGAGTTTTATACTGGTAGATAATCCGTTGTAATTGTCATAACCTTATCTTTATAAGACACATTTTTTCAACCGTTTAAGTATGCTGAGGAACCGCTGTCACGATGTCGTACTATGACATTTTTTCGGCCGAATCGAAAATTTCGAAATCAACGTGGCGTCAACTCTGGTACAAAAAGCTTTACTGCTTGCTAAGCTTGGTCTTCACCAAGATCACAGAAAACTTATTCTCCAGTTTTTACCAAAGATACTATGACTTGCTTAGTCACAGTATGGTGCAAAATAGACCAACTTTGAGATAACATCAGGGTTGTGTGGTTAGTCAGGTATGGCCATTGAGAACTGCAGAACAGAAGTTTTGATGAAACGATTACTGAACCATCGTTTACTTCACGTTTACTTCCCAGAGGGTGTAAGCTTCGAAGAGCAATACAGTGCTAAACACCTGAATGTCGCCATGATTTGCCTTTTCGTTAAGGATCTATTTGAAGTTTTGCTGCGTTGTATACATGCAAGCTTACCCATTCATCAAAACGGCTCTCAATCTCGTTGCTTGAAACGGTGAAAAAGAGAGATTTTTGAAAAAGCCTTGATCAGGCTGGGCACTACTATAAATACACTTGCTTTTTTTCAGCCACCATTGCATTTATTGCATTCCTTGACTCTGTTTGATTAAATTATACTTCTTCTCCGACTACCTCTTTTCACTGACAAGTGAAGTGAGTCAAGTTTGTGTTAAATCAAGTGTCTCTCTATAGCCATATGTTTTCCGTGATTACAATAGAAAACAGCAAACTCAAGAAAAGAAGACAAGAGAAGCAGATTTACTGTATTCTATTGCTTCATTATTTAGCTCAAATTTTTCAAACCAGTGGCGTCAAATCAGCGTGTACAAAAACATTCTACGTGGATTTTTACTGACGATGATCCTTCCTTGTAGTCAAAATAGGTGATACAAAATTGATTACCCACTTGCAGGCATTTCTGGACAGGTTTTCACCTTTTTTGCCACTTAAGATTTGACAATTTCAGACTTCCGAAAGCTTATGACTTCTTCGGAAAGTTGTTTCGTAGAAAAAAAAGTCAGATTTGAAATCAGTGTTTGAAGGCGCGTCTGGTGATATGCATCTCTCTTCGAGCGAGATCACTTGCCATTTCCCAACTAAAGTGCATTTAGAGGGTGTTTAGGCTTGGAATTTCAATTTTCGAGTTTTGATACTTCTTTTCAGACGAACGCCTCCTTGCTGAGGATTCAAAAACACAGTCTTAAAGGCAATGTCCTGGCAGATTTGCCCCCTGGGGATATAGCTGTAGTGGGGTTCCTGGTCACCCCACTTGTATCTAGGCCCAGTCTGATTAATGTTCACATTGTGCCTAGAAAATAGCCCTGAAACCGACGCGAGCAACCCTGTCGGCGCGTGCTCGAACGGCTTCGCACCTGTTCGGCCGGGACCCCATGACAGCTCCCACAATGTGCATTGTTATTCAAAGCAAAAACTACAAGCGACAGGGTCTTCGTGCTAGAGTCTCCCAACTTTCTATACAATCTCGTTTAACCTGCCTTTTGGAAAGTGGCTGAACGCTCCAAAAAACGGTCTTTCCACCTTCAGAGCTCGAATTCGAATTTTGTGTGTCGAGAAGCCTTGAAATATGCAGGAATGTGGAGGTACAATTTGCTGGGGCACTGTCTTCAAGGACTTTGATGTCAGCTTGTATCAAGACATGGTTATGTAGGGTCTTGATCTTTTTGAATTCGCTAAAGTTCTAAATCTCAAAGACACGGCCTGCAAGGTTGTTCGTTCGCGTTTGCTTACGATCTGATACAACTAAGACACCCGAGTGACATTTCAGCGCTTGGCTGCGGGCAGTAATAGACACAAGGAGAACGAAGTACACAGACGAAAACATCTGATGAATATAATCTAGAGTCCTGGATTGAGGGAGTTTTATACTGGTAGATAATCCGTTGTAATTGTCATAACCTTATCTTTATAAGACACATTTTTTCAACCGTTTAAGTATGCTGAACCGCTGTCACGATGTCGTATTATGGCATTTTTTCGGCCGAATCGAAAATTTCGAAATCAACGTGGCGTCAACTCTGGTACAAAAAGCTTTACTGCTTGCTAAGCTTGGTCTTCACCAAGATCACAGAAAACTTATTCTCCACTTTTTATCAAAGACAGTATCACCTGCTTAGTCACAGTATGGTGCAAAATAGACCAAACTTTGAGATAACATCAGGGTTGTGTGGTTAGTCAGGTATGGCCATTGAGAACTGCAGAACAGGGGTTTTGATGAAACGACTACTGAACCATCGTTTACTTCACGTTTACTTTCCAGAGGGTGTAAGCTTCGAAGAGCATTACAGTGCTAAACACATTTATTATACGCTCTCAATATCGCCATGATTTGCCTTTTCGTTAATGAATCTCTTCTTTAAAGTTTTGTTGCGTTGTATACATGCAAGATTACCATCATTCATCAAACGGCTCTCAATCTCATTGCTTGAAACGGTGAAAAAGAGAAATTTCAAAAAAGCCTTGATGGCTGGACACTACTATAAATACACTTGCTTTATTCAGCCACCATTGCATTTCTTGCATTCCTTGACTTTGGAAGAAAATTCGGGGAATAAAAAATCACTTGAGTTTTCTCCCTCTCAAAAGCTCTTGAAGTCAATTTGCTTCAATAAACAGCTGTTTTGAGTTTACGAGCTTTTATACATACAACGCAAAAGCTCAAAAGCTCCTGTGCTCTCTTGATAAAAGAGGTGAAGAAGCTTTCATAAACTTTGCGTAATCTTATATATAAAGCTGAATGTCTGTTTGTCTGTATGTCTGTCTGTCTGTCTGTATGTCTGTCTGTCTGTACGTATGTTCCGAATAGAAAATTCCATTTCTGAACCGATCCGGACCAAACTTGGCACACATACACTTCGGGCCCCGGCGGGTGTCATAGGCTACTTTTCGTCATCGATCGATATCGATTTTTATCGATTTTTTTGCTGAGTTCACCTACGGGGCTGGGAGTTGGCACAGGGGGGTAATCGAGCATGGGGATTCCGAATACAATATTGGTTTTCAGGATTATCGATTACTTTTATCGATTTTATCGATTTTTTGCTGAGTTCACCTACGGGGCTGGGAGTTGGCACAGGGGGGTAATCGAGCATGGGGATTCCGAATACAATATTGGTTTTCAGGATTATCGATTACTTTTATCGATTTTATCGATTTTTTGCAAAGTTTGAGCTACGGGGCTGGGAGTTGGCACAGGGGGGTAATCGAGCATGGGGATTCCGAATACAATATTGGTTTTCAAGATTATCGATTAATTTTATCGATTTTATCGATTTTTTTGCAAAGTTTGAGCTACGGGGCTGGGAGTTCGCACAGGGGGATAATCGAGCATGGGGATTCCGAATACAATATTGGTTTTCGGGATTATCGATTACTTTTATCGATTTTATCGATTTTTTTGCAAAGTTTGAGCTAGGGGGCTGGGAGTTGGCACAGGGGGGTAATCGAGCATGCTGATCATCCCCAAGGGGGGTGATCAGCATGCTCGATTACACCCCTGTGCCAAATTCCAGCCCCTAACTCAAATTTTCAAAAAATCGATAAAATTGATAAAAGTAATGGACGATCTTGAAAACTAATATTGTATTCGTAATCTGCATGCTCGATTACCCCCCTGTGCAAACTCCCAGCCCCTCAGGTCAAACTTTACAAAAAAATCGATAAAATCGATAAAAGTAATGGACGATCCTGAAAACTAATACTGTGTTCGTAATCCGCATGCTCGATTACCCCCTGTGCAAAAACCCAGCCTCGCATGTCAAAATTTACAAAAAAATCGATAAAATCAATAAAAGTAATCGATAATTCTGGAAACTAATATTGTATTCGGAATCCCCATGCTCACTTCCCCCCCTGTGCCAACTCCTAGCCCTGTAGGTGAATTCTGCAAAAAAATCGATAAAAATCGGTAAAATCGACATCGATCGATAACGAAAAATGGACTGTGACACCGCCGGGGCCCGAAGTGTATGTGTGCCAAGTGGTCCGGATACGGCGGAGCCGGGTAAGCCAGCTAGTCGCTGATATTGAAGGACAAGTCCTCACCGAAGGGTAGCCATATTTCCACAAAACTCGACGTTCGATATCTAGAAAGTGCCGGGGTTGATTTAATATGTTGCCTAACTGATGATGCGGTTCTGCTAAAACTTTCAGAATGTTGCGATGCAATCGCCTTTGAATTTAATTTACTTTTCGTGAATGTTCTTTGTGAGCAGAGATTGGACATAACCCTCAGTCTCTTCTCTGACTTGAATCAGGTTTTCCGAGTTAGTCAAGAGTAACTAGAATTTGAAGTTTTGAGGGTCCTCCAATTTGACCTGGTGGTCTGAGCCGTAACTGGGCAGGGTGTTCCGATCACTTCTCGAAGTATGACAATTGTGGATCCAAAATGCCCAGTGCACCTATTTTTTTTCTAGGTACACACTTCAAATTCACACAAGTTTTATAAGCCAAGCCTTGGGATGTAAAAGCGTGGCCGTCCCCGGTGATCTTGTCCTTCAACATCAACGATTACGCAAAGCCTACAAGTGCGTCCTTCACCTTAATTATCAAGAAACAAGAAAAAGAAACATTAAGATTTAGGCTTATTCCCAATCTACTGCTCGGGCGAATTTTCATGAAAAGTACTTGAAATTTGAAGGCGCGATTGCATCACAACAATCTGAGTTTCACAAGTCCGCATCATCATATAGGCAAGGTAATAAATCAAGCTGCACTTCCTGAATATTAAACATCCAGTTTTGTAGAAAAGTGTCTACTTTATGGTGATTTTTCAGCTGTCCGTCAAAGTCAGCGAATACGCGAAGTTTCTAAGAGCGTTCTGCGACTCATAAGAAAGCTCACGAGATTCTATGACTTTTGCGTGGCATGTAAAAAAGCTCGTAAACCCTGCAAATCAGCTTTTGGTTAAGCAGATTAACTCTCATTGCTGTCAAAGCAAAAACATCACGTGATTGTTCATCTTCGAGGCGAGAGGTCGGAGGTGCTCAAATGTTTTGCACTTCGAGGTGTTGCTGTACAAGAAATTTGAGAGTCAAAGAAGCAATGATGGTTGAATCAAGCAAATGGGTCTATAAAAGTGTTTAGTTCAAAGCAGTAGCTCGACAATCTTTCACAAAATTTTTTCCTTCCTCGGGGCGAATCGACGCTAATCTTAAAAATTGAACTTACATAGTATGGAAATAGCGTAAACCAGCCTTTCCCAAGGCCTATAAAACATATTTAAAACTTACATTTTGGCCTCATACTTCCGTAAGTCAAACTTTCTGCAGATAGTCGCAGAATAACTTGTAAAGTCCATAATCTATCAAATATGATAGCTGAAGTTTACAATCTAGTCTACGGGACATCGGTATCAGATGAAAAAACTTATGAGACAATCGTATTAGTTGTACGTACATTGGAAGACCTTTATGCGTGCTGCATCTAAAGTTCTCTCACCTGATGTTCTCCAGGAAACAAGAATGCAGCATTATATACCGTCATGCCAAATTAGGCAAATATTCAAGCGCTTTGATCAGATTTCTTTGCATGCTGTCATCGACATATAAAACATTGAAATCACCATGCTTTTGCCCCGTTGAATACAAAATTTACTGAAATAAGACATTTGGCGAGCTGCCAGATGCGATTACATCCACTACTGCTCAATCAGTTCTACTGGATCTCCTCGAAAATATAGCTATAACGTACATCGTGACTTGAGGGAGTAGGAAATCACTCAAGTACTAATAGCACGGATAAGTAATTCATGCAAAACTAATGCCTGCTCCTTAATTTGTGCCAGAAATATAAGAATGTAAAAAATACATCATTCGATAAGGGAGTATTTGCGAATTCTCAAATTTTCAACCTACTTGAACTTGCAAAAAAATCTAGAAAAATTTGTATACCCAAAAATCAGATTTTCGTCAAAAGATGATGCTAACTTCAAACTTGGTCAAGCATGTGCTATACACATAAGATAATCATATGTCCACCCAACGCATTTGTTCTGAAATGGAAATGAAAAATTTGAGAAAAGGTTAGAAAATTGAAAATGTCGCCTTCGGTTTTTATGTCAAATTTGTAAATCACTGACAACCAGCGCTCGAAGAAGGCCCAAAATTCACTGTTATATTTCCAAAGACTTGTAGTATGGAATTATTCATGTCGAGATAATCCAGCATTGATTATATTGATTGCCAAATCTTATTTCCTCTACTACTAGCTTTGGAGAAAATACAGCAAGCGTATAATACCTATGCAAAGCTAACGCGCTAATGCGACGCGTAATTTTTGTGAGCAATTTGGGTGTTTGTAAAATTTTTCTTGGTAGAGATCCAATTTGTGGCTAAACCCCCTTCCAACTTTCCTTAGCAAACTTTCTAAAATTGTCTGAAACCGCGCCCTGTAGAGCTTGTTTCGTTCTATCTAATGATATGTTTTATGTATTTTTATACCTTTTCTGCCCGCACAAGGATAAGTCACACGCATTTGTGCATCAACATAACGCGTTATAAAATGAAATAATCGCTTATTCCAGCTCTCTGCCTTTCTCGTACCACTACTTCCCACTACTTCCACCCCTTTTCTCGCTTTCGGATACCCTCCCCTGAAGTGCAACGCGAATGAAAAGCACGCCCTCATTCCCTTTTTCCTGCCCTCGAAATTTACCCATATGTGCACAACAACTTTTCACTCTGTATGGCTTTTTGGATAATGAGTGCCGTGTTTGATTATTATAATAATTGTAGAGGCGGCAGATGGCTGGTAAAGGTCACGAGCGATTGTTCAGCGTCACGCATCCTATTTTTCCGTTAGCAGAGCATATGGTCTGGCTTAGTG